GCACTGGACGGCCGTATATATATATATATATATATATATATATATATATATATATATATATATATATATATATATATATATATATATGGTGCCCTCTTATGTGTTTAAAATAATAAATAGAACACTTATCATATTCTTCCCAAGATTTCTTATTGTTTTTATAACTTTTGCCCGGTTAATTATCACGTGATAAGATCTACCCATTAGAATACTGTTTATACAATCTTAATACTGTGCCATACCAATGACGTGTTGACTAATACAAGCAGACTATAGTCCTTATTGATTCTTCTCATCTAGCACTGCTTGTTGAGTTCAGAACATCAATGTCAGCTTTCACTATATGAATCCTGTATTTCAGACATACTTGGTTTATATACAAACAAATCAGACCATATCATTATCATAAAATAGCCAAAAAGTGGTTGAGTGTGAGAGCCTGAAACTAGTAAACAGAATAACTTAAGAATAGTGAATCGTATGATAGTAGTCAATAGGTCAAGTAAAAGCTTCTATTAAAAGGAATATAACTATATATAATCCAGTTACTTAACAGTTCTACAAAAAGAACATATATATACATGATAACAGTTCATAAATAGTTCCCAGAAGTTACCCATAATTTAACCTTTTTTAGGATATAACACTTATCTAATGTATTTTTAGCTTAAAATCTAAGTGAATATTGATTTTTCAATCACAGATTTTCAGTTATATTAATAACAAGGTATTACATATTGAATTCGAATAAGATTGACAACATAATATTAGGGTTAGAATATACAAGACAAAAAAGGGATATAATTAAACGAAATACATAAATGAATAATAATTGATAGACTGAATGTAAAAATATGTTCTAAAGTCATGAATAATTATGGGAAATTCAATCGAAATAACAGGAAAGCAGCCATCAAATTTGATGCGCCCTGAACAAGAAACGTTATATATATCATTGGCTTGATACATCTGCTAAGCATGTATACGGCATGGAAGACAAACTGGCTGATGACATGATCTAAAGTTTATATGATCGATAATAAATGAAGCTTTTTTTGTTGAGCAATATTCCTGTTGAATGTTTAACCAAAATAAAATGGTTCTTTACTTCCCCCTAGTTTTAAATTAATTCTTCAGCGGATATTGATTTTAAACAGTCTCTTCTAAACGTCTTCTGATCTAGTTGGAAAACCTTTTGTTACTATCGAATAATTGTATATCTGAATGGGTTTTGTGGAAGCCGTTACCAGTGGAGTTCAACCAGGTCTGTTGTGAGATAGTAACTCACTGAAGACAATGGTGTACGGTGGCGCAACTTCGTGGATTGGTTGAAGTTAGACATTAACACCGTTGGGTGCCGGCTCAGTGGTCTAGTGGTTAAGTGTTCGCGCGCGAAGCCAGTAGGTCCTGGGTTCGGGCCCCGCGTGGTGCGGGATCGTGGATGAGCACTGCTGAGGAGTCCCATACTAGGATGAAACGGCCGTCCAGTGCTTCCAGGTTTTCAATGGTGGTCTAGCTTCAACTGACTCATGATTTCAACTGTATATCTATTTACTTTAGCTGGAATTCAATTCACTGAAGTGGAATATTCTTTGAAAATATTTCACTTCTATATTTCTCACCTGAAAATGTACATTCTTTTCAAACTATCAACAGAATGACATGGAACTATTGACGAGCATCATTGTTTTTTTGATCATCTAATGTGTTCATTCAACCAACCCTTTTGATATGAACAAAATCTTTAAATCCAAAATATTGATTAACTCCTGTCTTTGGGTTTTCTATGCTTAAAATGTCAAATGTTTTTGCCAATCGAATTTTAAAGAAATCTATTCAACTTAATTAGATCGTTTTCTGGTTTATCATCTGATAATTTCATTTTCATATTTAAATTTGTTGAAGTGATCCAGAAAATTGCTATCAAAAGACAAGCAAGCATTAGGAAACACTAAGAAGCGTTTCAAGGAAGCGAAACGTTACATGCAGAGGCTCTGATTGGTTGGCTGCTACACTGCTGCTATGTTTAGTAGCATTTCCAGAATCTTCTAGCAACCCAAGGACATTTAAAATATTATAAAAACCCTGTATTTTCTGTATTAAAATGAACCTTGGAGTAAACTACTTCTCGCATACTTTGAGTCTTCTCTCTCGTGTTCAGGTCGCTGTATAGTTCTAGCTTGGGGGTTACAGAATAGCTTAGAAGACGAATATAGCGTTCAATCCGCAAGATATATCAAAATTATACTAGAAATATAGTTACATATAAATAATAACAGTATCCGAGCTTTGCCTGAAGTTTGGATAGGACATATATTGTGGAAATCACCAAAATGTATCTGGATTCAGAGCCTAACATTGAATCTTCACGGAAAAAGCAAAAGAGGAAGACCAAAGAACATATTGTATCGAGAATTGGAGGCAGAAATCAAAAGGAATAATTGCAACTGGAAAGGATTGTCGAGGAAGGAATTGCATTTAGAATCTTGTTCGGTAGCCTATGCTTCCACGAGGAGTAATAGGCGTAAGCAAGTAATGAGTAAGTCTGCCTGAAGTGGTCGTGGATATTTACTTTTGAAATTATTCATACAAAGAAGACAAGATACCTCTCTACCCAGTGTTTTCTGCTTTTCATTTGCTATCGATGATAAACTAGTTCTGGATGAAAAATATCTGAAAAGCTGTTTGATGAACTACAAAGCGAAAGCTAGTTAGAAGATATCACTGGATTCTTATTATTCTATTGTTTTCATCAGTGATGCTTTTAAACGAACTATAATTGGTTTCACATACATATGTAAATCGATACATTCATAGAAGTTTACACATTTAAAACCTTGGATACTTTTATCCCATATATTCGAACATCTACAGTAAAATACACTTCAGTAAAGGTATTTTGTTTTTAGAGAAAACACTTTGTCGTTACCCTATTATCGTTCTTAACCCCACTACCACACATATGCACTTTTACCTATTCAAGTCATTTGATAATAACATGCTTTATTAAATACATCAGTATTTGCATCTGCAAGATTCAAAACTCGTTTCACTGATCAAAATACCTACCTACGTAAATATATTTATTGTTGAGGGTTGAGGGAGTTTGAGGGCAGTCTTAATTGACGCCTAAATGGTTGTTTCATGTTTTATATGTTGACCTTTGATTGGTGATCTGTTATCTGACTGATAACTTCTTGCCGTAATGTATTAGGGGAATATTCTGTGAATTATGTCTTCAATTCCCAAATCCATTTTTTTTGATAATGATTTCATCTTGTAATATCCCGATGAGAATAATAAATTGTAACTTTTGGGATTCATTTATGGACTAGTGCTAAACATATATTTTTACCGTATAATTGTTGAGTAACTAAACTATTCGTATTCGTATCCCTCTTGTTATGAGCTTTATTTTGACTTATGGACTATTATTATGCGATTTACCATTTTTGAGTTATGCCAAGCTTATTAATTACAGTCTCCACATTCACAGCCACTTTTGGCTAAATCTTATTGTTTCCTGTTTTATAGTACGATGTGGTCTATTTAGTTGGTATATAAACCCAGTATGCTTGAAATACATGATTTGTATCGCAGAAGCTGAGATTTGTGTTCTGGACTCTAACAGGAAGGGCTAGGCAGGAATCAGGACCGATAAAGACTCTAGACTGCTCGTATAGGTTTTATGCGTCATTGGTCCGATCGATAATTCACTGTTCTCTAATTAGCGGGATCATTACGTTATACATTAATAAGAAACAGTGCACAAGTTATAACACATTTAACTATCATCTCTGTAGTCTGAAGGCTAAGAGTTTATTATGAACCTTAATGGTCATGTATTCGACTCAATGTGGGTTCATAGCTGCACACTTCAGAGGAGTTTTATATCAGACTGCAAAACATCATCAGTGCTTCCTACTATTCAATAATTCGTTCATTAAGGTCAACCAGTAAACATTATTCTAATCTAGATAAATAGATTTAATTCTCTTTAATAATTATAACAGCAGTAATTTGGGAGACTCTCTCGGTCTCCCACATTGTACGAACATTCCATGTACCTGAATAAATGGTTGCTCTGGTTTTCAGAAGGGGCATCAACCTCATGACTTCCGAAGGAACTCGACTTTCATTATGAGGCGTCATAACTCTTATAAATGAAAACCTTTTGACTCTCAGGGCAGAGTTTAAATGATTTGAATAATTTTTTTCTGAATAGCGTTTTCTTAGCGAGTTAGTTTTCTATGGGAGGGGGTCGCTAACCCCATGCCCAACCCTCCTTCTTTATCCGGGCTTGAGAACGGCAGTAGCTCCTGGAGGGACTCCAGGCGGAGTTAATAATTATAAGCATAATAATAATAGTGATAATAATCGAATCAACTAGTGACTTACGGAATTTTTTTATTATTATTACTAATATTTCTTCCGTTTCATAAATTATTTACATTCTTTCTTGAGTTTATTCTTTTGTTTTAAAAATTATATAAGAAACATTATTGTTATTATTATTATTATTATTATTATTATTATTATTATTATTATTATTATTATTATTATTATTATTATTATTATTATTATTATTGACCCATAGTTTGGAATGTCTGACCTAATTAATTCATTTATTATTCAACAAATCGCCTTATCTTTCTTTCATATAGGTCAGCACCAAAACCAAACTTACATCTACTAACATACATACATACATACATACACAAAACTATGCACCAATACTAACACAAAATAAAATAATTAAAGAAAACTCTATTTTATTATTTAGTCTTGAGCACATTGAATTATGTTACTAAGCATACAAATTAAATATGCAAATATATAGATAGATAGATAGACAGACAGACAGACAGAGAGATAGATATATAGATAGATAAACAGACAGATAGATAGATAGACAAACATACAGACAGTAATGTGTAGTGCTGTATTTGAATGTTATAAAATCACTGGTTGATTAATCAATAAATTACATCATTTGTTTATTTTTCTTAACTATTATCTTATCAAATACACACAATGTGACAAAATGTTTAATTTATTTGATGGTATACATATGTATGTATCTATCTATCTATCTTATATAGATAGGTAGATAGGTAGGTAGGTAAATGTGAATGTGAATGTGAAAACAATGATTAGACTGAATTAATAGTGAGTGTCTTTTATTCATTTTCATCACTCTTGTTCTTTTTTTATTCTTCTTCTTCTTATTATTATTGAATGTTAACGTATACAATTTGGTGTTTCTAATTAATCAATCAATATTATGGAATATCTTGAACAATTTACAGTGATTGATAAAAATAGAGATGGGATCATTTCAAGAAGGGATTTATTTAAATATGCATTAAGTATTGGTGAAGATTTGTCTATGGTTGATGTAAGTAACAAAAGATATTGATTTTTTTTCTTCTTTAAAATTATCTTTTATTGTAATAGTTAAGAAGAAATTCTGATGTAACTATAATTTATGGACGATGTTTAAGCGACGCTTAAGTAATCTTGAGAATTATCCACTTAATAACTAAGAGCAAATGAAGGTTATAAACCTGTGTGAAGACTTTGAATTGTGATTTATAGTTGATGGTTAAGATTGAGAATTATATTTAAGGTTTTGATTACGAACTGACATCAGTTATAAAGCCGAAACTCTATTTTGTCAAATAAATGAGTGAATTTTGTGCCAAAATCCAAGACTTATTATCTTGCACCTGATTGGTTCGTTCATAAATTATAATCTCGCTGAAATTCTTTAAAATTTTTTTCATAGTTTTTGTAATGATTAATTAATATATGTAGTATGTTTGTAAAGTAGTGGCAGGATCATGGATGCGCACTGTTGAGAAGTCCTACAGGAGGACGAAATGACCGTCCAGGGTTTACAGGTTTTCCATGATAATCTAGCTTTAATTGACTCATGACCTCAACTATTAAAAAACTAAAGTAGAATCTTTGAAGAATTTTATAAAATTTATGACCTATTAACTTTATCAGATAACCTTAGAGTGATATTCAAAAGGTCTGGAGAAAATTTACCTACCTAAAGTCAAAAAAAGAGTGTTATAAATTAATGTGAAGAGTTAAGAAATAGATTATAGAACTGGATTTTAAGGTTAGAAAGTAAAGTAAATGTTTTCATTACAATCTGATAACAGCTACAATGTCGAAATACTATCTAACCATTAGAATGAATAAATGTCGTGCTGAAATCCAAGAATAAATTATAGTCTCATCATCTTATCAACATTAAAGCTATCAGTGGAAACAATTATTTCAGTTAGAGAAGTTGTTTTCTTTGAAGAAGCATTTTTTTTTTATAAATACCATTCAAATTTCTATAAGACTATGACTTTGATGTGTCACGCGGATTATATTAACCTCAATCAATAAAGATTGTCTCTTGAATTTTTAAAGTATGATATAAGTTATTTTGAAATCTAAAAATCGTTAAAATTTAACTACCTTTAAAAAAATTACAACTGATTAATATAAGTAAATGGAATAGATTTTTAACACTAGTTGATCATCGTATAGTGTGTTCTGTAGTGTTAATAATTGATTTCTATTGATTAACTTGTGATATGACAATGAGAGTAAGCATATTAACAGTACATGCATTATGTTGTGATATTAATCGGTTGGGAGATGAGTCTGGACTTAGATTTCGTTCTAGTTGACATCTATCAGTAAGGCGTATCTGTACTTTTGAGGCAACATGTGCCTCCTGTGAGATCCGAACTCAAGTCACTCAACAGTAGTTCCCTCAAGATTACAGGCGTGCCTTACTAACAAGTCTTTAATAACACGTAACTTATGTTCAGAGTTTCGTCCTAACCACCTAGTATCAAAACATGATGGGTTATGTCATAAGTTAAGTATTCTGGGTTTCATGCTAGTTGTTATCTGCCACTGATATATCACCTGATCTCATAAATTTGTTCAGAAAGTTCCCTATTATATCACTGAATATTATCAATGGGATTTAAATAAGTGGAAAAATCATAGTATACCGACGGCCTTGAGTTAGCCAATCAGAATTAAAGTGACACATGTGTTTTGCGTAGAATTTAAAATCCATTGCTACATAATAACTTGTATGTTAATATTGACTAAGTGAAAATAAACAATAATTGATTCTTAAAATACTTTGATTCAATGAATTTAAGATACTGCTTTAGCTGAATTGCAAAACATACCTGCTCTTAAAACACGATGGGTTATAAAATGCTTAATGTGATTAAATGCATGATCAAGAGTGTTGAGTAAAGGCAGATCACATTCTCCCTTTCTAACGTTTCGTCTAAACCACAATCTTAAGTCTCTCAAATTTGCAAACAGAAGGATCATGAATAACATGAGAACCAGTTACGATGAAATCCGGGGCGGCCAAACCAAAACGTGGCCACGTGTTAGGTATGCCTGAACACCGATTACCACGACGTGCAATGCTAACCGGTGTTGTGGATGATTGGAAGAAAGTACGGGGCAATCGAACCAAAACGTGGTATCGGTGCTTGAAGTCACTAAATTCTGGTCTGAGCCATATTGGTAGATACAGACTATCTCGTTGGGGTCCGCGTGACTATCGTAACCAATGGTTGGAAACTCTTGGTGACATGACTCAAAATCGATCACAATGGTGTAGGTGTATACACTCTCTGTCTTCCCTTAAACTATGAAATTAATATCGCTTCATATCTTTCTTTCTTTCTATTAACTAATTCTTTCTTCCTGAACTATATCCTTATACACAATCCTTCTTTTATATATTACCACCTTTGAATTAACTACTTTTATGAATCTGGTGTTGATCTTGTTGTGTTAATGAGGTATGGCAACTTGGACCGATGCATATATATGCCTGGCCTTGCGTTGTAACTGACTGACTGACGATAGAATTCGGAAAATCTAAACTATAAAACTATGTATTCTCAACTGAAAAAAATTGGAAGATTTTTGTTTGACAGGACTCAAATAACTTAATAGTTGGATTCATGAGTCACTTGAAGCTAGACCACCATGGAAAACCTGGAAGCAGTGAACAGCCGTTTCGTCCTAGTATGGGACTCCTCAGCAGTGAACCGGATCAACGGACTTATGAATTCAACTATTAAATTACTATAATATCCACAAAACCCCTCTCTGACTTAAGTAACTTTTAAAAAAATCTAAAACACCTAATGTAACTATCATTCAACTAAAAGGTTATGAAAGAGGATAAATATTATGGTGCAATAAAAGACTATACATGTCATAAGCAAAGGTTGGGATTAAATCTATAATTTTCTTAAGCCTCTATAATTCATGAAGTTCAAGAGAACAAAACACTTTTTTAGAATCTTCACTATAATGTTATCCTAAGAGTTACCTATACTAACACGAGTAGTTCTCCTTATTAACATTGAAGTTAGAGAAAAATTATTTCAAATGAGACTCTAAAATCAGATATTTTTAGATTTTTGGTAAAATATTAAATATTTTTTTAAAAATTTCGTATTATCTTCTCTAACTTGCTTATGATTTGTAGAAAGAGTAAAGGAAGACCTATATTACAATTGATTGATCACTGGGTGGTGATCAATGTCTTGCTTGTCTAGTCCTTATTAGTGCAGATCGAATGCTATCGATCATGTTGCAATGTGGCCACCAGTCTAGGTGACTCGACACTGCGGGCACTATGTATTGAGATTTAGATGGTGGTTGGAGGTAGTCAACAGGAAACCCTGGACCCGGGTTTCGTGCTACTTGGCACTCGTCAGCAAGGTGTACCTGTAATCTTGAGGGAACTGGTGCTCCCTGGCGGATTCGATCTCGTGTCACCCAGCTTCACAGTCAGAGACGTTACCACTGAGCTATCCGAGCCGTGGAAGACCTATATTTTAGATGGCATCAATGTTCATTTATACATTTACTTGCTTCTACGGGAATTGATAACATTGGTTATGAAAAACAAACTCTTCCATAACATAACCTTAATTACTATCTTATCTGACTGTCAGATAGAATAAACAAGTCAATATCATTGATCAATTCTGATTAAATTGTTTCTTTTTCCAGAATGATATTTCAAAAATACATACAGTAAAAATAAGAAACAATAAGAATATACAATTTAACTAATAAAGCTTGAAATATGTATTCAGAAGTAGTATGTTTTTGGCGGAGTTTTATTCTCTGAATTGGATAGTTTGGTTGTAGAGCTTTCATTATTCTTCTGAAAGACATCATCAGCACAAATTTCAGGTAGAAGTGAAGTGTGCTTACGATATCGTTCAAAATAACGATGAAAGCTCCATAACCAAACTATCCAACTTAGAGAACTAAACTCCATCAAAATCATACACCTGAGCTACAAATCTTTTCCACCATCTCGAAGTAGTATGTTCTATCATTCATTATGCTATGATTATAAGCTCCTATGTAAATCTTTACAGTTATTAATTACTTGTTATTATCACTAAGTTAAGCTCCCCTATTTCTCTTACTTTTTCTGATATTCATCCAATAGACAATTTATATTTCATATTTCGATTTATAAACTATTTTCTCAGTTTACTATTCTTCTTTAACTCATAATTTAATAGACAAACTTGTATGAGGATAACCAACATTTTTTTTAAATGTTTAATAAAGACTATGATATCTAGTATTTCTCATTCACTTAGTTGATAAGTTCTGCAAAGAAGAGTATAGTTTTCATTCGAAACTTCATTTTAATCATTTCATAGTATCTATATATGTCTAATATGAGTCACTCAGTCAGTCAATAAGTTACAACGCAAGACCAGGCACATATATGCATCGGTCCAAGTTGTCATACCTCATTAACATATCAAGGTGAATACCGGATTCATAGAATTAGTTAATTCAGTGGTGATAATATATAAAACAAAGATTGCATATAAGGACATAGTAAAGGAAGAAAGAATTAGTTCGCAGAACACACTATTGTAGTGCAATTCAAATTGTCGGATCGAAAAACAAAAGAAAAGAGAGCAAAAATGAAGTGGAATTTAGAGATGGAGATGAAATCATCAGTGAAAATTATGCTCTTAAACTGCATTATTCATTCACTAAATGAACGTAAAAATGTTAGATATTATACATCTATTGAACATTGAGAAGTAAATTGACAGTTATCTAATCTATCTCCAAAACTTCTATGTGAAACTTTAAAATTTTGAGGATTTTGTATTGTAGTCCCTTTCTATGTTTTAGTACATTAATAAATTTGTTAAGTAACTATCTATACAACTGGAAAGGTTCAGTAAACGAGTTCGCGAAAAAAAATCGTTATCATTAGATCGTCTTAGCTTTTTGTTTATCACCTGGTACATTGATCACACAGAAATCTGATCATTGATTAATTCACTTTATAAC